GTGCGAAAGCAAAAGCACTTTATTTGGCCTTCCGGAAGAAGATGCAATTAGGAATCATTGGTTAAGATTTATTTACAACAGAACAGCACAACCCAGATGTTCGAATTTGTGCAACGTATTTTATGGACGAGTTTTTATTTTTGTATTATTTTATTTTTTTTTAACCTAGAAGAGTACAAGGCTGGCTGTGCATAAAGACTATTTCTTGTGCTTGTGGTGTTTGGCCAATCACAATGCACCGGGTCAGCTGGCCAATCAGAGCAGACTGCGCTTGTCAAAGGAGGGGGCTTTGTTGAAAACGACGTGTTTGAGAGAGGCGGGGCATAGAGGACCTACAATAATGTACAGTATTTGAAAAAAAATGTGTTTTTTGAACATTAAAGCATGTCAACATATTCTGTTACACCAAATACACAAAATAATGATCTTTAAAATAGCATCATATGACCCCTTTAAGACATAAATATTTGAAAGGTAGTGATAATCTATATTATGAAAGTAGATATTTGTAAAGTGCCAGTTTTAATGATTGCTATGGCCTTACAGTGTACACATGTTATATTAACGCCTGAGGTCATGTGAATGGTATATAAACTTCAGCATGTGAGAATATTACTACAGATATCACCTCCTTGTCTTCTGTCATGTAGATGGGATTAAAACCGCATAAATGTTACTCATTGCCCGGGGCGCTAGTCTAGTCCCATATTCATTTATAATGAAGATGTTAAGTGTCTGAGAATATTGGCGTCACGTGGATCAGGGTGCAAACTGTGTGTAATTTCCTCTTCGCTCTTCCACAGAGTTGATTTATGATAAAGTTAGGCTCCAGTTGATTGGCTTTTTCTGGGTTTGCTAGGGAAAACTCAATCTGAAGTCATATTTTTTATGAGAGCACTGTCTGAGAGGGAGCTTGGATGATAACATTTTGCTATATTGTAATAATTAGAAAATTGAATGTGAAATCAGACATAGCCCTAATTTACCTGTCATGTTGATTGATTAAGCTGGAGGCTGTACCTCGCTCTTACACTTTGTTCTAAAGTTTCAGTGTGACCTGAACTGTAACTTGTGAACTAAATCAGTCAATGCTAACAGTCTAACAGTGGGGGAAAAAAACTTCCTCTCTTTTTGAGAACTTGAGTTTTGACAGTTGTGGGGGAAATCATGGGGAAACATTTTTGAAAGTTTTGGTGGAATTTATTTGGAAATGAATATCAGCTGAATCAAACTGTTTTTGTTAGTTTCAGTTTTTATATGGTATCATTTAATTGTAATTGATCCAGAATAATTTAATTGTTTTGACATCCCTCATATCACCCCCTCAAAATAATATTTAGGCCTAAATTTACGATTTATGAATCTGCATAGCAGATTGAAAAAATCCTCCATTTGGATTATACAGTTTTAAACTAATTAACGTAATGTAATGAGTATATGTCAGTCAAACGTAAATTAAATGGGTAAGAAACAAACAAAAAAAATTTATAAACTGAATGTTTTTTTCCCCAAAATACACGATAACCAGGTTTATATATTGATCATCAATAAATCCAATTTGTTTCAATCTTATAAATTTGAACTAATTGAATATTGCTTGCTCTATAGCTAGCCGTGTTCATACTTTTTTATTTTTATACGTTTTTCACAATGAACTGATTTATGCTGATTCTAAATGATTTTAGTAGTTTTAAATAATAAATGATATAAAAATATGATTAATGAAATCAAATAGATGCAAATCTTAAACTATTCTGTGATGTTTTTGAGTGCAGACTTGAGTTTGAGCGCATTTGACAAATATCAGTCACTTTATTAGTTTATTTTAAACCTCTGTAATCCAAATGGGTGAAGTAATTTTTTTGATGCAATTCATAAATCTCAAATTTAGAACTTTTTTTTTACTAATAGTCATAATTAGTTTTTATAGGTGTAACAACGCAAAATAATTTTTCCAGTCAATTTATACATACCTTAACTTATCCAAGATTGAATTTACTGACTTTATTTTGTTCTTGTAAGGTGATGAAAATTATTCCTGTATCAGTTAGCTTCTGTAAAGTGTGTTTTCCTATTGAAAACTAACATTTGGATCACTCATGAAATCTTAGCACAATTTTCACATTTGAAAAATGTAGTTTTTCCTATATCAGCTCCCCCTAGTGTGCCTGCTAACAGCAGTTTGAGTGCTGAACATCCGGTTTGATAGAAGAACTGTGTGCGTCAGCGGGTTTGCCTGAATGGCAGTTAAGGTGTCCGGTTACAGCAGGAACAGAAGGGAAGTGTGTGTGCTGGACCCAGAATAGCACGGACATCGGGTCCTCCCTCTGAAAGTTAGGCATCATGTGAGACCCTCTTTAATCACTGACTATCCCGCTGGCTATGTGCGACCTACAGCCCACCTGTCCCTGCATACCTTCACACCTATACACACACACACACACACACACACACACAGCGGTCAGGCTGCAAGAACAAATCTTCAAAAAAACACACACGTGTGCATTTTTGAAGGTATATGCTCAACATGACCAATTAACTGCTTTTGTATATGTGCTGTATGATGTACCCTCACACGTTTCTATTGTCAGTTACAGGGAATATGTAAGGTCACATGCCACGTGTAAAGCTTGGGTCTGTTTACCGCTGCGAGCTATATGAATGATTTTGCATTGATTGCCCTCGGGCTGTTTATTAGACTCCTACTGCTGTTGTAGATGTCGAGAGAGCGAGGTGTTACAGTGTGACCTTTAGAAGACCGAATTAAGGAAGCAAATGTCCCATGTCTGTTTCATCTGTTGTTTTAGAGTGTGCTTTAGATGCCAGTGTGCTTTGCCCTGAAGTTTGTGTCAGTTCTATTTCATACAGAATACTTTTCCTTCTAGTGGCCTTTTCAGAGTATATCTACCCACATTTCAGCAAAACGGTGTTGCTGCTTCACAATAATTAGCAGTTTTATTACTGTCATCATGACAAAACTACATTCACCCCACAGCTTAGATCTTTTTTTTTTTCCCGACATAACCTTTTATGTTCACCAAGACTGCATTTATTTGATCAAAAATACAGTAAAATCAGTAATATTGTAAAATATTATTCCCATTTAAAATAACTGATTTCTATTTTGATATATTTTAAAATGTAATTTATCGCTGTGATGACAAAGCTGAATTTTACAGTCTTCAGTGTCACATGATCTTTCAGAAAACATTCTAATATGCTGATTTAATGTTCAAGAAACATATTTCTTAGAATCAATGTTGAAAACAATTGGTACATCTTAATATTTTTGTATATAGAATAAAATAGAATTATTATATGAATAGAAAGTTCACCTGTTATTTGACAGTTTATTTGACATTTTATTTAGGATTATAAAGGTCTTTACTGTCACTTTTAATGAATTTAAAGAATGCACTGAATAAAAAGATCTAACTGAATTAAAGTGTTAATTAAAAAAATTAAATAAAACAATCTTACTGACCCCCAGCTTTTGAACGTTAAGTATTTAGCCCTAATATCACATCTTGAGTTATTAACTATTTAATTATTATTTATTTATGTTTTTATCCAGGTTGAAGTGGATCCTAGACATTTAGAGGATCATTTTATTTAATTAAAATAATGAGATATTAAAAATTAGAACAGCAGAGCCCTCTTGTGGAGACATGTTGAACACGACTTGAGTTTGAATGTACAGTGGCCCCAAAAATTATTTTAATAATAGTAATAACATTTATTAATTCATTAATTTATTTGGGATGTATGTAAAGTTAGTTGAGAAACAGACTTGTGTGATTTGTTTGAAGATGTCGCTTGGTTTGTTATTTTGCAATCTAATGCAAATGCAGTGAAACTCGCTTTTTTTGTGTGTGTCACTCAAGTGTCAAAATGCTTTTTGGGGTCACAGTAAACTAAACCAGGTCATGAAATGTAGTGAAATGGTTGTCTGTGCATGCTCGGTGAGTTTCTTGTGGGCAGAGAAGTGCCAGGTGCCGTTATCTGTGCCTTGCAGAGCTGAATTGTGGTCACTCAAGTGTGGCCTCTTACTGGGGTCTCAGCTCTGATACTCATTTTATTAACACCCTGGTGTGTGTCCAGTTAAGTCAATTTGTAACTTAATAAGTGCATGCATCCAAGTGATA